ATAAATCTTAAATGGGGGAAAAGCTCCGAAGTATGGGTACGGCATAGTATAAATAAAACAAAATGAAAATCTAATTTAAAGCGAGACCAGGCAGCCGGGCGTCAATAATTGCCCCGAACTGAAATTATGCTGAAAGATTAAAGTCATTTATTATAATTTATTTATTTTTGTATTCTTGTTTTGTGCTCCGCTCCGGCGTTGTGCCGTTGCCATGCGCTCGTGTGGCTGCCAGACAGGATGCTGCTGGCAGGGGACAGAACAGGATGGGGGGTTGGTGGGCGGTAGTCCTTGGCAATTACTTTGAAGTGGCGCACTAGCCCAACTATGTACTCGCAGGGCCGTGGCGCCCCATTAAATTTGCCACACTTCATTGGCTCGCACAGAAATAATAATTTATTATTTAATTTCGCTCGGACAGCGGCGGTGGTGGAGGGCAACGGGGCGTGGCACGGGGAAGTTGGTTTAAAGTAATTAATTTCGGGAAGTGTCAAAGTTGCTGCATGGCCACGCCAAACTTTTCGTCTGGCCAAACAGGAGGATTGCGAAACGGGAGCTCGAGTGGATCCGGATGTGGCTGGGGGTCAGCCAAGTCAGCCTTTGGAAACCAATCGGGCACTGAAAAAAACATATTATATTCCCTGAAGCTTTCAAATTCTGGGAAACCAAGCTTGTTAACTCGATACTCTTAGATGTTTGCAATGCTTTGTTTTACTAATTAATCATTAACTTTACATCGTTTTCTGCACTAGACAATTCGAAGAGCGTGTACAAATTAACGAAATATAAATTATAAATTAGCTAAATGGTTAAGAGCGTTTACGAGGCCCTGAAAGGTTTAAAGCGTGCATTGGGGAATTTTAAGGCAAGAATTTCCTGGAATTTCTTCTGCTTGTTTTCCGGACATCTGCCGTTTCCCTCCGGATCGGGTCAGCTCATCTGCAGCTCCTTAGCTTGCTGCTCGTCCTGACCTCGCCTCCGGCAACGGCAGCAGCAGCAAGTTAATTTCCCTTTGCGATTGGCCCGTGGACAGTGTCCATAACGAGAGCGAAATAAATAAATTAAAAAAATTTAAATTAATTTTGAATATGCCTGGAACCCGCTAGCCCCGTAATTCATCATCTTCAAAGCTGCAATTAGCCTTTAATTTACGATGTGCCGCGTCCCCGAATATGTTTCAAATGTATTTAGGCTGCCGGGTAGCCGGGAATGCCCCATAAATTAAGGGGTCCCTTTTTGCTCTCTTTTATCTTAATGCCTCGCCTTGGCGCACAATCATTTGAATGCGTAAATTCTCGTAAGGTATTTTGTGTAGCATTTTATTGCATACTTAGGACTGGGCGGACTCCCTCCCGGCCGCCTCGGTCGGGCCGGCCATTATTCAAGGTAATTGAATTTGAGTCGAATGGCAGACGGGCGGACTGGTGGACTGGCGGACTGGGGCGAGGCAAATCGAAGTCGAAGGCTGACAGCCGAAGCCTGACGACAGTCGAGGCAGGCAGAAACCGCAGAAGGAATGGCCATAACCGAGCCAAATCCAAACAAATAAACGCTTGACCCACTCCGGCCAACAATGAGCAATGTGCCAAATGAACGGCCAAAGTTCAGCCTCAGCCGAAGCTGGAGCTGAGCTCGCCGAAAACATTTTAAATGCAAATGAAGTGGCGCACTTGGGAAGCCGTCAGCTGGAGCGAAAGAGTGGAGCGACTAGGACACGGAGACGGGGCCACGTTGAGAATGGCTGATAAATTAGGGAGCCCGGCACCCTGGCTCGATTTTAATAAACTTCAAGCTGGAAAAGCAGCGCCAGCTCAAAGTATGTCAAAAACTGCCTAAAAGCAAAAACAGCCCCAACTCCTCTTCTCGCGCCACTCAATCAGCCCTCGAGCGTCGCCCCCTTGAAATGGCAAAGTTTCGGCGGCGGGATTCAAAATGTATTTTTATGATAAAAAATGTTTAAAAACAATTTCCTCCTGTCTCCCCCTCGGAGCCCTCGAAGCCCTCGAAGCCCTCTCGAAGCAAAGTGTCCGAGCAAAGCGCTTATGGCTTTTGACTGGACCCCAAAACAATCCGGCAAATTGAAATACTCGTAAATAATAATCAGTGGCCACCGCCGGACTGATATCTCCTGGCTGCTCGCGGGATGGGTCAAGTTGTCGAAAGTTTGTGGCATACATTGAGCAGAGCTTAGAGAGTGATAGACTCCGCTGGCTTGGGACTTGCTCATTTCGCGTTGAATTCGCGTGATTTATTTGTTGCATAACTGGCCCGGGTCGTAGAAGTGGGGCTGTGGGGCGGGAAACTTGCAAAATAAATTGAAAGCAACGAAAGTTTGTCAGTCGCAGCAGCGACTGGAGCGGAAAAGTTTTGCCCCGGCCGTAATGTACTGGAGAGGCGTTTGTAAAAAATTACTTGCATACTTTTTGGCGCGCTTATAATTGTTTTCCATTCCCGTGTCCCCAAGTTGCGCCCCATTCCCAGGTCCTCCTCCCTCCCCTCTTCTCTGCACTGGGTTCTCCGGCAGCAGTTTCCATATAACTCATTAGGCAAAAGTTTAATGCGAATCCCCAGCAACCGCTCCCAGCTGCAGGAGTTTATGTTGAGATTTACTTTAACTACTCCTGCGCCTGCAACTATGCAATAAATTCTGCGAAATTCGTGTCCTCCCCACAGCTCAGCTCCCTGCTACAGCAGCATAGCCCTGACCCACATAAGGATGCTGCAGGAGAGGAGAGAGGCGGGGGAGACAGAGCAGGCCCTGCAAAGTTATATAATAAGCAGCATTAGCTACACATGTTCGTGGTAAATCGCTCCGGGGGAAGCGCTGGCAGGGAACGTCCAGCTGCTGGACATTATTCAGTGGACTCGGGCGCTGCTTAAGTGCAAGTGCCGCAAAGTCAGGGATGCTATATCCTTGTCCCACTCCCCCCTCCCCCCCTCTGAACCACCCAGCTGGACTGTCGAAACTTTTCCAATCTAAGCTAAATAAAAGGAAAAGTCTCTCGTGTCTATCATGTCAGTAGGTATTTTATTATTTTTAACCTCGACGCGGCACCGCCTCCACCGCCCGCACAGCTGTCGCTCAGTTAACGCCGACCCCTCCGGCCCCTCCCACGCAGGAGTGGCGGGAGCTGGCTCGTGTTGTCTTCTGCAACTAATTTGTCAATGTCAAGTGTTATTTCATATATTTCGCTCGGTTTTTTCCAGCCCGAATTTCTCGGTTGAAGCTTGCAAAACTTTTGCGCACGCACACCCGCAACGAGATACATCACTCCAGGTCTCGGCTCCAGCTCCGCCTTGCTCCTGCTCCGTCAGTGTTGCACGTAATCTAGTATATCAATGCGGTGTGTGCTCTTAGGCGCTCGTGCAGGGAGATCCCTCGAAGGCGCTAGACAAATAAGGTTTCAGTTGGAGAAGCAAGAGTCTGTGCTTCCTGAAATGATATCTGGGTAATTTTTGAAATGATTCTTTGATTCTTAAGCAGTTACTTTAAAGATAATTAAAGATCTTTATTCTAATATCTATTCTAAGTAAGATTTTAAATAGTATCTCTTAGTCCTTTTTGTGTTTTTCTTCTTTTTGCATTTTCTACCACCAACTGAAGTTTCAATTAGGCGAAGGCCGCTTTGCAGCCGCTTTGAAGTGATGAGGCAGAAGGCGCTGGAAAACTTTTTTGCCAGCTTATAAAAATCGCTGAACCAAGAGGAGAACCACCCTCGGGGCGGGGCCAAGGTGCCAGGGTAGTCTTTGTCTGCGCGGAATAGTTTTTGGGGACCTGCCAACTTCGCTTAACAATCAGCGTCAAACAGCAGCCAGGTGACAGTTTTAAGCAGCCCCCCGTACGGATCCCCATGCGAGAGTCCTTGCAGCCGTGGTGCCCGCCTAATTGCTGTCTTGCTCCGAAATGCGCTAAGTAGATTTTCTTGTACGCCATTTTAGCGAGAGTGGCAGGCCCGGATCGGAGCAGCGGAGCGGTACAGTTGACACTTCGTGTCAGAGTTCATTGCAGCAGCAGTCGGTCAGGGGTCGTCAGTTGTCCTTGCTGCCATTGTAGTTGTCGTTTCCGGGCTCCTGCTCAGCTCTTCCTCTTGTTGCTTGTTTTCCTGTTGTTGGCCCGTTTGATGCTAATTAATTGGATGGGGCTTGGAGTGGGTTAACAGCCCCTTGTTCGCTTGCCAATTTAATGGGCATCTTCTCGAGGGCTTAAGCAAAATACTTTTTAGCGGATTTCAATGGAAAATGCCATAATTGTATGGCACTCGAGTGACGTTCGCATAACAATTGAATAGGACAGGGGGGCGGGCGTGGGCGGCTAAAGGATGTCAAGGAGCGAGGGGGCGTGCCATGACGCGGCATGTGAGCCAAGGCACATGTGAGCGCCCCAGCGTAATCACATGGCCCAGTGAATTTATTGAATGCCAGCCAAGGACACAATATAAAAAAAGTACGAATATGTAGAATATTTTGTCATGCCAGGACAACGCAAATCCCAAGGAACAGGGCGGGTGTCTCTCAATGTCTATTAGGCGCAACAATTGCTTTTTACGCTCATCAACGGCAGCGCCCGAAATAATGCCTCTCAGCCTCATCATGTTTCCGAATCGGATTGCCACGGGAGCCACGGCAGGAGGTGGATACGGGGCCATGATGATGGCATTGCCAATGCCGATGCTGATGGCAATGGTGATGACGATGATGCCAATGCGGATGCTGAGCAGCTGCTGGGTGTTTTACAACAATGCGGAGCATGCCTAAGTAGGGGCACATATGCTTCCCGAAAGGCAGTAAAAAATGCTGCGACAAAAATTGCCTTGCAAAGTTTATAAAAATTAAGCGTCAAATATATATTTACCAAATTACCGTCGCAGGCACAGCACGTAGCTTCAGTATGCAGAGGGAGAAAAACAACAGGAGTCTTAAAGTCCTGAAAAAGTGTCATTGTTGTTTATAAACCCAGGACTAGTTAGCTTTATTAAATCCACGAAAATAAAGATTGATTCCGCTATGAAAGGCTCATTCGTTTATTTTTTGTTTATATGTTCTAAGATTTTATATAGTTTCTTTAAACAGGATAACGTATTTTAAGGATTATGGAAAATAAATCTCAACTCTTGGAGCACTTCGATTATATCCTTTTTTTTGCTCTGTGCATCATCTCGAGCCAGTATACCTGCCGCTATCCCAGGCACTCCCGCCCCTCGACAAGGACTCGCCTCACGCCATGACCCGTCCTGACCTGACTACTGCCATCACTTGCGCTAAATTAGATTTCGCCCGTTCCAGACTCGTTCGGCGTTGTCGCTTCATTTTGTCAATTGTTTGGACTTGTTAGTCTCCGGCGGACAGACGAGGAAATGGCCAGGGGACAGACACAGGAGCAGGGGCCAGGAGCAGCAGACCAGGACACAATGACTGTCGCTCTGCAAAGGCTCATTGTGAGAGCGTGCGTCCAGGGTCGGCATTGTGTCCGGGGACAGCGACCTCCTCAATGCCAAGAGCTGAGTAGATTAGGGCCAATTACAGCGGCATCAGCATCACCGTCACCATCAGCGGTCGAGGCAGCAGTGTCCCCATTGTTCGGCTTCCTGGCGGCTGCCTTGAGCTCCTGCCGTTCGTCCTTGTATTTAGTTGTTCGCAGGCAACCGCCTAATGTGCCAAAAAGCCAAATGAGTTTGCCTGCACAAACATCAGAACAGAACTCTTTGGCGCCGGCAATGCAGGTTCTGCAAATGCAGAAATGCCGATGAAATGCAATCGTCAACCGCACTAGGGAGCACGTGCCATGTGTGTGTGGCAGTGCCGTCATGCGAGTGGGAAAAGCCAAGGCAAACACACAGCACACTCAGCCACAACATGAATACGAAATATTAAAGTTTCGGAAGGAACATTGTAGCTGCAGCCAAAGGGTAGAATGGAGGCTATAGCATACCCTTTAAATAGATTTTGTTTGAAATTATTGATATAATATTGAAAAGTAATATTTTTTAAGAGTTATTTTATAAGCTTTTAACTACTTAGAGAGATAAAAGGATAATTATTAAATTAATCGTAATTCGTATTTCTTATATTTCGAATTCTGATATTCTTATTTCATTTTTAGTAACATTGCTAGAGTTCCAGGCTTAAAAAAAGTACGCTAATTTATTCGCAAATTTGTCTGATAAAGTTTTAAGAAGTTAATAAACTCTGCTTATGCTAAATCCTGTTTGTCTATAAAGAAAACTTGAACTAGATTAGCGAATAAAACTAGTTTCTTCAGCAATAAGATTATATATCTCCCAATGATTTAGCTAGGGTACTTATGGCTCCCCACTCATACTTTATTTTTCGAATATAACAACACCTGGGAAAACGTAATTATTCATAATTCAATCTGCTATCGCTAGGTGACGCACGGCACGAACAATTTCCCGGCAACCGCCAACGACACAATCTATGTGCCTCGGGCTGCTGCATTCGTATTTGTGTGCAGTTAATGTGCATTTAGAATGCATACGGGGTTATGCAATATTAAGCATACGCATTCGACGTGTTTGCCAGGGAACAGGCTGCTTGTTTACCTCATCCAACCAGCCATCCAGCCAGGTAGCTGCAGCAGCAGACGGACAAATAGACAGCCGAAACAAGGAGGTTAAACAAATGTCAAAGCAAACCGAAATTCACATCTCGTCCTCGACATTATATTGCCGTGTGTTTATTTAGTCGAGGATGCAGTGCAGTGCAGTGGAATGGGCTAGGCAATGGCATTCGAATGGGAATCGGTTGCGGAATCCGGGCATTATGCATGCCGGCATGGGTGTTGGCTGAGATGCGGCTCAACTAATTGTGTTTCGTGCTGGCAAATAAATCTAGGACCAGCACGTTGCTGTAGTCGCCCATAAATTCGCATCAATTTATGCATTTATTTCGTAGGCTTCCGCCTCGGTCGGAAGCTCACAGGCAGCTGTGTTCTGTGGGTGCCATGCAATTAGGCCGCCAAAGACGTTGGCACACACTGATTTCTAGCATAAATATTTCAACATCATAATTAAAATGGAAACGGCAGGGTGCAGGATCCAGCCATTCTCCTTTCTTACGCGACATATCCGCTTGCCGGGCATTTAGGTTTCATTCAGCCAATGCGACGGGAACTGCAACTGCAGCTGCAACGGCAACTGCATCTCACCTTCCGGCTCTCTGCAAGCGGATATCCGGCGAGCGCAGAACGCGGCTCACGTTCCAGCTGCATTTTTCTTTGGGGTTGAAGGAGCCGGCCCAAAAGGAGCAGGCTTTTCATTGTTCGCGCCGACATTGTAGAACAGAAGGAGCTACAACAAGGACTCTGGCGAAATGGAAATGGAAATGGCCATTAAAAGGAAACACTTTGCGCACTTTAATTTATTTTTAGCGCCTCGGAAAAATGCGAGAGCTGGCGAACGAACAAGAGACCAGAAAGGCGGCCAACTGAGTGGAGGGAAAACTCGAGGCGGAACAATAAAACAAGCTTCGTTCATAAACCCAAGTGCCTGGCGCAGGAGGAGCCTTTGATTAACGCTCGAAGAAGGAGGTTTAAGCCTTTGAGCAAATATTGACTCGCCCCAAACTGCAGTCATTTGGCCGCCAGGACTACTTGCATGTCTAGCTACAACCCTTCCACGCTCTGGCTTAATTTAAATAAATGTCACACCATGTGGCCAAAGCCCAACCCCTTGACCGCCCGCTGCGGACCTCAGCTGAAGGTCGCCCGCTGGGTGAATCGCGACATTTCTGTGTTTGTGACGCTGTTCGAGCATGGCAATTTGTTGGTATTATTTTGGTAACACTTTAATTTCTGTTCGCGGCCCCGCCACACGACACGCAGCACTCCCCACAGCGCCAGCTAGTTAGGTGGCAATAAGGATATGGCGTTATCCTTTTACCAGCTATTTAGCATTTAAATGCTTAGCGCCCTGGCCCCATTTTATTTTATCCAACCCTAAAGGAGGGTATGTGGGATTTAGGGGGAATTTTCGTAACATTACGCTTAATTTCTGTCTGATTTGGGTCTTTTAAGAAGATTATTTTGAGTTGTTTAAACAGGGAAACTCGTTTTGTTATTAAAAGCGAGTATTATAAAGTGCGATTAAAGGGTTTGTTATGGATGCAGTTTTATATTTTTAGACACTAATTTTAATTCTTTGCAACTGTTGTTTTACAATCTCAGTTTATAATGGATTTCTAAATTCTGTTGAGATTTATAGTTGAGTTTCATTGACTCTTAAACTTATACGATCTTGGCAAATGTCCTTGACTACGTGATGACTTTTTCCAGCAATGTTTTCACTAGCTTATCGCTATTTCTCACAGCAGAAGCACCACTCAGATTATTACAAATTTTCCCCAAGCTTTATAATGCTTAAGCTGAAATCCCTCGTTGTTTACGTATCAATTCCACGCACTCCATCAAGCTGGCCAGGGGTTTATTTCACACATGACTTGAGCCGAATTGACTTACATAAGCGAGCTCTCCTTGTGGCCAAATCAACTGAGGGGTGTAAAATTTTTCCCTCATTTATTTAAATTCACTGCCAGCGAGTATGTGTGTGTTTAGAGGGCGACTAAGTTGTACACACTTCTGCACTAAGCACATGTAAGCTGGCATTCCCAGGCACACACAACAAAGGCAGCCAACTCAAGCCAGAAACATTAAAAGCATTTCTTTTGTGGTATTCAGAGGGGACTCTGGGCCTGATTCCCGATGCCCCTGACAAGCACACGGCACAACTAAGCCCACCAACGCCCAAAATGTAATAAGCAATAACAGTTACCAGGAGGAGGAGCGGGCTGGAGTCGTTCTGTGGTTTGTCGAGGCGCGAAACTGAAATGGCGCAACTTTATTTAATATCCGTAAGCAATGTCAGTCGAACAAAGATAGCGCTAGGGAGAAGGGGAAGGCGGGCCTAACAGGCGTATGCGTAATATTTGGTCGCTTTGGCAGCATAGCAAAATGTTTGCATTCGCCAAATTGCCTTGCGTGTCAACACTAAATAGCAGACAAGTCTAAATACTTGTACCCAGACCGCCCTCAACTCGCACAGTCCCCCTTTCAGGCCAAGAGCCCCGCGTTTGTCCCTTGGAAAACTTTTGAATGTCGCGCAGTTGTTTTGCGGTTTGCTCTTTCAAAAATATTTTCGAGCAAAATTTACGCGTTCTTGGCACACACTTCGAACATCCTTTTCAACTGTTTGCCCGCACACACATAAGCACTCAGACACACATTTTCATACACTGAGAAGAAAATAAGGAATCTTTGGGAGAAACATTTTGGATTTTAAGTATTGTCTAAGTATTTCCACACTAGTAGCATTTTCCATGGGTTTAATTCTTTATGTTTTAGATTTCTTAGCTTTAAATTATACAATCCAATAGTTAAGAGAATCAATTATCTGTAAAAGGCTCTAAAGATTTCTAGGAATTCAAAACTTGGGTTTGTTTTTCTCTCTGTACACGCATTTGTGAGCCAATATTTGTTGTTGTTGATTTTAGCCGAAAAGCAAAGGAAAAGCAGCTTAACTTATGTCAACCCGATAGCATCGTGGGACCATAAATGTCTCCCAAGACAGCCTCCCCTCCTTCGCCTTCGCCTTCGCCCCGGAAAAAACATTGGGACCGAAGAAATCGCTGGGACGTTGCGAAATCAGTGGAAAGCTTTTCAGAAAGTTTTTGTCAAACATTTGTGTGGCACTTGTAAATTTGTTGTGATTTCTTGATAGCTCCTTATGCCAAGCGTTCATGTGTGTGCGCGTTGGGCTGCCTCCCAGCCATCGCCCTGGAGTAGGCTGTGAGTTTTATGAATTTTCATGTGCTTTCAAGCGTGGCCGGAGGGAAAGCCGAGAAAATGCCGACATGTGAAAGAATTTTCTCACTACCCCCGACTCCCGCCTCACGACTCCTTTCAACCCCGTTCCGATGCGTATGGGAAAAGTTTTTCTTTTTCAGGCTCGAGTAACTTCATTAGAAGGAATTTAAAGCAGCCACTGGCGTTGATTTATGGAAGATATATATCCGCAGGCGGAAATCATTATAATAGAGCTGAAGGAAATGGGAAACGAGAAAGGAACGAAGCGGAGAAGCGGAGAGAGAAGCCAATAACAGCTTCTTCGCTGGCAAATTATGAGCAGCCACTGATTGAGTGCAGCGAGATGCACGCGGAGAAGGCAAATTCTTATCGCATCCCAAACAGTTGGAGTACAAAATCAATTTTCCCAATGGAACCCGAAAGCAATGGCATCTCCCGCCCCCCGATTCTGACGTCTCCCTCGCCGCTGAGCTGCAGTTAGCCAACTTTGCACAGCTTGCGGTCAGCTTGACATTTTTGCTGCTTGCAATCTGCGAGGCAGAGAGGAGGAGAAGGAAATTCCTGTTCAGCTCTTGGCACTCCATAAAAGGCAGCAGCCATGGCGGAAAAACAGAAAGGGAGGCCACGTCCTTGGCCACGCCCCTTCGTTGCTGGCACTTCATCATCATTTCGGGCCCCATTCCCGCCATCAAAACGAAATGTCAAACTAAATGGCAACAATTTTGATTGAATTTTTTACAAAGTGCCATGCCAGAGCTCCTGATTCTGCTGCTACTGCTGTCGCTGGGCCCTCAATTCTGGCTGACCAAAAATGTGCTGGGAAATAGCGACACGTTCCGCCAAGGAAATCCATCTGAGGTTTTCCCACTCGATCCAAATGCTGAGACTTGGCCTCGGGACCTAAAACCCCAGGACGTGACGGAGCGGCATGCGAGATGCGAAATGCCAACAATAAAGTGCAATTCATTCTCTAAACAGGCTGCATGTCCTCCTATGCAAGTGGCACATGGAATGGCGGAATCACAGTCCTGGCGGTGGCACACATACACACATACGAGTGGGCATGGGCGTGGGAGGGAGAGCGGGCGTGGCACGGCATTTTATGACAATGCCAATCTAAGCGAAAGCGAGAAGACGTTGACATATTTTTCTTGACAACGTGCAGTGCATTTCTTTCCAGGCCGCTGACAAAATGTGCCCGTTACCGCAATGCAATGATCCAGAGGCGTAGTCCTCGCCATTGATATGCATCCCCGCGGGGGGTCGGAGTGCCATCTTCATTACCAATCATCAACCTGTATTGAATTCACCATTCACCGAGGGTAGTCAAAATATAAGAGCAGCCACTCTTAGATGAGAATGTCGGGGACCCCTTGCCGTCGCACGGCTGACTTGGCGAGGCAGGACCCCCGTATCCTGGCTGACTTCGGAGCTTAGGCTGCCGCCGCACGAGACACAAATACTACATTAACCCAAATGCAAAGCCGTGCCAAGAGCCTGGCAAGTAAAGGCCCACGGGACGTGTGCATGTGTGAGCAGCTGCGCATATACATGCATCCGAGTGGGTATGCTACAGCTGGTGTATCTAGTACATCGCGTGTGTGTGTGTATGGGTGTGTGCCCGCATCTGACGAGTGGAATTGATGGGAATGCAATGCGGAAGGCTGCCAGTTGCCAGCCCATCGCGCGGCGCTTAGAGCGAGCACTTACCATACATACCCGTGCCCACGGATCCGGCGGAAGCTGCGCTGCCAATGATCACATTAGCTGAACCCACTCGCTAGTTGACCTCAATTGGTAATGGAATGGCATTAGGAGCCTTGCCAGCGCCCGCTCTGGGGAGCTTAAGTTAATCAAGTTAGGCAGTGACACCCGTGGGTGATTCTTTAAAATTTGCATTTTACTTGAATTTATTTATTGACTGAAATGGGGCCCAACCTGAAAAGCTTCTACACTGTAGAAATACTTTAAAATTTAAAGGAATTTAAGGAACTCACAGTTTACATTTATTTTATTCGAGGAAGTTTGCCTGAAATAAGTCAAGGGTCTATTGTTGTATTATTTTCCTTTCTAATTTGTATACCATTTTAGTTTTCTTCACTTTGAAGTATTCGTTTTTTCCACCTATTTATAGCTTTTAAAGGCCAACTGTCTCACAAAAATTCACTCAATCTGAATCTGTCAGTTCCCTGGTCAATCAGCACAGAGTGCAGTTCCCTTCATAGTGGTATAGTAATATTAAATGTCAATCAACTTCAGCGTCACTTCAATTATTCGTATGTAGAAAGGGGTAATGTCCTTGTGTTGTTGAATTGTTTGCAATATTAAGCCAAGCTTAATTCCGTGTTACCTCCCTTGTAGATGAGTAGGGACTACTTTAAGACCCCTTACCCCCTAGAGGGCTAAGAAACGCGCTGTAATTGCTACTTGACTTCCGCCAGAGTCCCTAATGTTGTGCAAACAATGGGACCCGTTTAAGCACCGCATAGTTAGCAGTAATGCTAATGCCTTGAACTTGAACCCAATTTCGAGGAGCCTCAACGAGGGACCCCGTCGTTTTGGCCATTTCATTTGCATTGAGTTTTAAATAATTCGAAGCCAGCGCAACCAGGCCGACAGCCCGGCAAGGACGACTGCCAAAAGGATGTGTCACCAAAATATGAGGCCAGCAAGGAGAGAGGGGCTGGGTAAAAAGGTCAAAAACACTTGGCAGTACATTATCTGGGCCAGTGGCCGCTGTGGAGCAGTAGGGCACCTCTGACAACTGACGACGGCACACTGATGACAGACGCTCCGGCTGACATTTTCGTTATTATTCTTATTGCCTTTGCTGAAAGCCCGAGCTCCATCTATTGCTGATGCTGATGCGGCTCCCACTCGGACTGCTGCTGTTATTGTTGGCTCAATTTCCTAGCCATTTCCGGCTGGTCTTCTTCTGCCCTGCGAAATTACGTAAAACATACAAAAACAGAAGTTACAACAGCCGGGGGTTTCGGGGATGAGGGATAGAGGGTTGCGGGGTCTCGGGGCTCGGGGCTTCGGGCAAAAACACACAGACCGTGCGGGTCATTCCACTTGATTTCCGAAAAAGATACTGGCCACACAGGGCAAAAAATGGCCAGGATCGAAGGCAGCGCTGGAGGGAGGCAAGCCGGCAACCGCAAGTACAAAAGAAATGAACTGCTCGGTGGCCCAAGTCCTCGGCTCCTCCTGCGTCCTTGTGCCGCCTTCAGTCATCGGCGTTCTTGCTGCTCACTCAATGGTCCATAAATCGGTTGTCAACTATTCAAATGCAGACAATTGATTACAGCGATAAAGCTGAAGAGCCTTTTGTGAGCGATTCATCCAGCCGCTCCTCCTTGGCTCGACTCTAATGAAAGCAGCTGTGCCATTCACAGAGCTATATGGGGGAGGTGGGGCCGAGTCGGCGGACCGAGTTATCTAGGTGGGATTTCTTTTTCCTTTTCTGTCTTTGCCCCTTTGATGAGCCGGAGCCGGAGCCGAGGCCGTAATGAGATGAGCCAGTGGGAGCCATAAGGAGAGTTGGCTTTGTGGCCCAAAATGAGGGGGCGCAGAAAGTCAATAGACGGTAAGACCATTTAAGCTGGGCCCAGAATTAGGTTACAGCTGCAAAAACCCACACACACTGCCGTAGGAGAGCTGCAAACTGCAGAATCAACACCCACTCGAGGGTGTCTATCGATTGCGGCTCCGGCTGAAGGGGATGTGGCTTGTTCTGGCTCAGATCAGGGCGCTTAGCCCCTCGAAGGTGCTTCGAGCACGGCAAAATATTTATTCACAGTTCAATAAATAAAACTCCATGTGCCGGGCCAAGCCAGAGCCAAGGCAGGCAGCCAAGCCGTGAATCTAATGGCCTGGTATCCATCCAACCAGCCAGCCATCCATCTGTCGGGCCAACAAGCGGTAGTTTTAAATAAGAAATGAATACAACGCCTTTGTTCGGGCGCGCCGACTTGGACTTAACTTTAAGTTTGATGGGATTGCGAATGGCAATGGGATTGGGATTGGGATTGGGAATGCAAAGGCGAATGGGATTGGGAGTGGGTAGCAGGAAGCACCCGGAGTTGCAGCTCGAATTTGAGTTTTAATATGGCGTATATAGAGCCGTATTTGCTTAGCTTATGCCCGGCCCCCGCCCGAAGCCCCGAGCATTTAACACTTTCTATTTACTACCGCAGCCAGAGCAATTGAAATACTCGTTGCACAGGCAACGGGAATGGCAGAACGACTTAAGCACATTTACCCTGCCAAGCCATGAGCCATGAGGCAGAAACTTAAAGGAAATCGCTGCACTTGGCGAGAGCAAGAAAACTAAATAGTTGGTTATAAAATATAAAAATATTACATTAATTACAATATATTTTAAAATAAATTTCACAACAACCTGGACTCTTTCCTTGCTTAATTTTAACCTAAAACTTAAATTGCCTTTAAACTTTAAACTTCTCCCAGTGTGGAATTACGGAAGCGTAAGGGGATCTTCTCTGGCTTACAACAATAATGTTGCAGCAACGTTGATTGGGCTGCATCAAAGCGTCGCAGGCGGCATTAGGAAGTGCGGCCACGTCTGGATGAGGCTATGGATGTGGATGTGCAAGGGGTTGTAGATCTATATCCGAGAGCCAAGAAATTGTTATGGCCCAGAGCAAGTGAATGTCCGTCCGTCGCTTTTCTATTTATCTATCAGCTCGGTGAGCATGTGAGAGTGTGACTGGTTTATGCATTTCCATTTAAAGTTGTTTTGTGGTGGCTAAAAAAACAATAACCGAGGAGCACGAGCAAACAAATTTGAGGACGTGAGTTGCGGAGAGGGGAAATCGGGCTAATTGGTAAAACTTCATCGAGCCATCGAACTGTCAATTGTCAAAGGGCAGCAGGTCGAATCAGGCCGCAAAGTAAGTTAAGAACTTGGCAAAACATAATTCGCAGGGACCCCGGGGGAAAACAGCCACTGCCGAAAGGCAAGTTTTGTGGGAGGTTGCAGTTTATGCAGGGCCTAGGCCAATAATTTAAGAAGTTCACGCTACACAAAGTTCAAGTGAAGTATGCCAGGTCCTGGCTGCCCGCCCGCCTGCCAGCCAGCCTGCCTGCCTGCCTGCCTCGTCCTGAAAGATGGCAAACGGAAATTTACTGCAGGCACGAACGGCAAATGGGTCCTGAAAGGGGTAAATACAAGGACCGTGCTCCGAAACTCCGGAGGGGAATGTTCCGCCGAGCGAAATATGCACATTTCCACACTTAATAACAAAATATGTTAAACAAAATCATTTGATGTTGGGCGTAATTTTTTCAGCGGTGCAGGGCCGTGTGTGTCTAAGGGCCGTTGCCAACACAAACCCAACCCATCCGCACACACTCACATGAACGCGAAACACATGTTTACATGCAAATTACATAAAGCAAGCGGAGGCAGTGGCAACAAACGCAAATTATATGCTGCATACTTTTAGGCCTGCGACTCAGACTTCGTATATCGAGTTACCAAAGTAAATTGTATGGGGATTTTTCCCCTACATCCATTTCCGCAGAAAAACGGCGTCCAGACAATGTCGCGCCGCTTCCTGGGTCCTTTACAGACCCCTTGCCCGGCCTTCGTCCCTATATATGCATACATTTAAAGTATTTTCGTTTTGTATATACCCTTGCCGAGGGGTAGTATTGTCGAACTTCCGCAAAGAAATAATAATGTGGGTGCTCGAGTTTCTTTTAGAGATTTCCAGCTAAGGCATTGGATCAGAGTTTATATTTAGCTGTAATTAATATCAAAAGAAATCAAAGATTTGTCAGAAATGTGGAATGAGAGTTTACGACAGTTTAAAAACAGTTAATAGAAAACCTTAAATTTACCTAAAATTTATTTAAAAAACTGAAAAAATATATTCCTAGATGTTGTACAACATTTATGGTTTCAGTTGAATAACTATAAGCTCATATAACCTTACAGAGTAATGAAAACTTCGGCCTTCAAGTTCCCTCATATTATTATTACGTTTCGCCGCCCTCAGTGGAAAGTCGTTGGAACAAAACAAAAAAAAAAAGGAAGAAAAAAAGCCACAGCGACGTAACATGTAAACAAACTCATTTAACTGATTTTCAGGAGGGAAAATGTGGCTCCTGGGCATGGTGGCTGGTAATGGGCGGCGGGCGTTTAGGGGTTCTTCATAGGGACTCGGAGTGGTGCTGGAACGACCACATTATCATCATCATCTCGCCGCTGCTTTTTGCCCGCAACTCTTTTTCAGAAGGAGCAGCAGAGCAGCAGCTGCCGTGGCCGCAACCTGGGGCTAGATTTACATGTCACTCGACTCAAGTTGGGCCTTGTCCCGACTGCTGCTGCTGGTCCAGGACCTCGAGCTCACCTCACCCCGCCTCTCTCCGTCAGTCGTGACCACGGCGACAAGTTAACTTGCTCGGCTCCGTATCTGGGATCCAGGATTCAGTATCTAGTATCCAGGATCCCCACACCGCCTTCCCCGCCTCCCCCAAGCTGTGCACATAATCTTTGCATAATTTCCAACTCAGCTTTTTCTTTTGCTCTGCGCCTTTTTTTCACTTCACTTTGGCAAACGTGCTAAGCGACAAAAACGGCAAATGTCAGCAGAAACAGGAAAATAAACTAACTACAATTTCATCCCGTTTTTTCTTTCTGTTGCTGGACACGGCTGTGACCATTTGCTTCTCTCGCAGGATCCGATTCAGCCTGTATAGAAATGCCCAAATTATGCAGTTTTTATTGCCTGCTCCTGGCCTTATACATATGTATATCTGTACATACGGACAATCCAGTTTCAAGCATTTTAATAATAACTGGCCCTAAGAGGAGACGGTCCCCTCCTACGGCCAAGTTTCGCTTTGAAATTGGACCAGCAAAAGCGCAAAACTTCGGGATAGCTTTCATGTGTACAAAATCAAAAGGATAATTGAGACATGTGAACAATATCCCTAAGTGCGAGGGCCCACAGCAGCCAGCCCGACCCAATGAAAGGTCGCACATCAAAGGTGGCCCCCAGACAGTTCGCCGCTTACCCCAGATGAAAAGCAATTAACAAAAGTAAAAGCGGGGGAGAACGGGTGGGGACTTGGCTGAGCAGGAAAAAATTCATAAGAGTGGGAGCAAGGAAAAATATTAAATGCTTGCAGGGGGGAGGAAGCCACCGAGAAGGGTCAGGGAAGGGGCTCACAGACACGGGCATCTCAAAAAAGTGCCAGGCACTCACAAAACTGCTCCAAGGAAGTGGCGGTGAGGTGTCAAGGAGGCGAGTGAAAGGCAAGAGAGATGCTACACTGGGAATAAGGCCTCCAGAACTGGTTACCTAGATTCATAATTATTGTAGGAATCATTAGGACTTTCTGGTACTTATTCAAACATAATTATCAAATGTCAAATACATTTCTTTTAGTTCCAATAACACATATTTTTATTAGGCAATTTCCCAATTTCCTAATTGCTTCCCTAGAAGCACATTATTTCTCCACGTGTGTGAAAAGTATAAAGTGGGAGTGGGAGGTGCTCCACACACACGCACGACAAAGCAGAATAATAAATTTCAATTCAGACGACGACATGACGTCTCTGCCTCACGTCGACGTCGACATGCATGTTGATAAGAAAGCGCACAACCCTTCCAGCATCGTCCTCCCTCCAGCTACACCTCGCGTGGCTGGGGGCAGTCGCTTTAGCCTTGGCTAAGCCTCTCGGCCAGGTCGGCATAAACGGGGAAAAAAAACTCTGAATGCGAGTGGGAAAAAGTCGCGCATAAATGGCAAGTGGGCACGTCGGCACGGGGCTCGTTCAGTGACTGCAGAAAGGAAATGCGCAACGCAGCCCAAAGGTGTCAAGCGGAAAATAAAGCATAATAATAGCTGCAGCCAAGGAACAAAGGCCTGAACGGCGGATGGCAAGGGGACAGGACTCAGACAGCCGTCAGTCAGTCAGCCAGTCAGCCAGTCAGCCAGTCACTCGGTGAGGAGAGGGTAAGCTAGGTGCGTAGGTGACGCATTATCCGTATGACAATGCCTTCCTGCTAAGTTCAGCATATGTACGGCCATAGTGCCCGGCCGCAGGCAGGCCGAGGAAAAAAGCCCCAAATGTGCTAATAATTTATGCAAAAACCCCTGGCAGCCTCAAAGAAAATACCAAATGAGCCGCTGCTCCTTCTCATAACCTGGGCATGAGCCTCTAAAAATAATCCCTCGGTTCCCAGAACGGGGAGTATCCTGAATGAGATCAGGACACTCATGCAAATGTGATTTCTTTAATTTCCCCGATTTTCTTGCGGCTTAATTTTCATAAAACAAGGTGTAACAAATGTAAATGCTTTAAAGCGGAAAACAAAATAAATAAATAAATATTTTTTGAATAGGATTACAAATTGAAAATAACATAAAAACCTTTGTAAACAGATGTTTCTTCTATCTTTTCAGACTTATGCGAATAAGATGCCAAGGCTCGGCTCCCCAAAGAGTCCAGACCTAGATCCAGAGTCCACATCCGCTTCCTCGAGCAGGACACTAGCCCCTTGATGAGGACGCTCCGAACTGATTTGATTTGAAGGAACCAGCGGCTGAAACAATAACTGCAATAGCAGCGGGCAACAAAAGCAATTTGAATTTGTGGAGGGAGCGGGAACGAGAGAGAGAGCGTTGGAAATTGTGTACATATTTTGTCTCTGTCTGTTTCCGGTCGCCATTGGACGCGAATGTGCTTGTGTGTGTGTGTGAATTTCGTGTAAATAAGTGCAATGCAAAAACAGAAACACAAACAGCAACAGCAGAGGAAACAGAAATAACAAGCGAAATGGCAAAAAGTGCAGTTAAGCGTGGAAATTGCATTAAAAATTGAGCAAAAAATTGAGAAAACAAAAAGCGGCGAAAAGACAAAAAAACGGAACAAACAAAGACGCAAAAAGAACGCTAGAGCTAACGAGCGCTAAAAAGCAACAAAAAATCAAGCAAAAGCCGCGATTCAGACTAGGGAGAGAGAGAGAGAGAGAGCGAGGGAAACTGGAGAAAAAGAAGTAAACTTTTGATTGAAAATTTTCACTTCGCTTTCATCCTTTCTGGATTGTGTAAATTTCTGATTAAGAAACAAAAAACCATCAACAAACGCGCGGCGCGAAGCGTAACATAATATCCTGCACATCCCCGGATTTGATCAACCGAAAGTGGGAAACCGAAATTTCAAACAACAAAGGACAACGCCGTGTGCTTTGCAGTTCCTGTTCCGCTTCTGTCATGACAGTTCGGGCCTACGTTTTTCGATATTTTTTATTTTTTATGCACGGCAAGATCGCCGCCTGCAGCCACAAACATATCTGACTGAGTCCGAAACCGCGATACGAAATTGAGCCGTGAACACTGAAATCCGAGTGCGAGTGAGTCGTGCAGTAAAAGTCAGAGCCCCAACTGACGGCCCAGACACAAAGCACCCCGAGAAACTCGGGTCGTTGACAAAGTAACGCATTTAGTGATAAGAGCCAAACGACTTTGGCAAAATGAGCAGCCAAAACAGGAGCGGCAGGAGCAGGACGAGCAGGAGGAGCACCCAACTATTGCTCCTTATCGGCATCGCAGTCGCATCATGTTTGCCGGGTAAGTGTCAACAGCAGTCCCTGTCTCCGGTTTCCTGTTAGCATCTCAGACTTATCAGCCCCCTTCCCGGAATTAATGCAAATATTTAACGTGCTTTTTTATGGATTCGCCGTCGTCATGCTGCCGTTGCGAGGCCCTGTCATAATAACGAGCTGTAGGGCCAGGGACAGACCGAGGCGGAGACAGAGCCAAAGCCGCTCTCTCTCTCCACTTGACATGACTTGTAAATGGCTTTCGATTAAGTTGTCACATTAGCATTAATCTTGAGCTCCGCCAGAGCAGGCTTCTGCGAGCTCATTGGAGTTCAATCAAGTCGTCTGCCAGTCCTTGGTCTCCATTCCCCCAATGTCCTTATTCCCTCCCTAGAAACGTGCTAATGAGCCGTGAGCTGATGAGTGCACTCTCCTTGAGGTGGCTCACATATATACGTACGCACTAGTCAAGGGCCTCTGAGGTGATCTAGGTCAGCGGCATGCTCATGGCACTCTCCAGATAATTGAAATATAATTACCCACCCGAAAGCCGCTTAAACTCATATATATTCATTATTTCATTAACAATTCAAGCCTTTTACAGCATCACCGGTGCATTTTTAATGAAAACAGCAGCAATAAATATTACTGCTTGTTATGAATATGCATTGCGGAATTATCCCCGAATGCTGTTACCTCACAAGCGTAATCCGATAATCGTATGGGATCGTGGGCAGAGCTTAAGCCAATTACTGAAACAAATTGATTTCGAATGTAAGAGGTCATTTTATCATTTTTCTGTCAGTTTGTTTGCATTTCTAATCGGGCGAACGACGAACGACGATTTAAATGCCAAGTTCACATGCGGATTACGTATACGCAGTGTAGGCACACCCACTTAAATTCCATTGCGACATTTTCGCATGCAAAACAATGATTTAGTCTATTTGTGTTGCCTTTCTTTTTGTTTGTCCATCACAGATCACAGATCGGCAGCTGGGCCCAGCGTTTGGTCGCACGGTTCAAAGTCCCTTTCATTTCATTTTATTTGATTCAATTTGCTTTTGTTGCAAAGCCTCCCCGTTTGAGCTGCAATATTTTCATTTTCATTTTCATGTAGAGCAACAATTTCTAATTCGGGTCTCTGTTTGTGTTTTGGCTTTCCCCCCTTTGTTTGCCCTCCATTTGTGTTGTTTTGCTAATTCAAACTATTTGAAGTGCCTTGGCAGAGGGGTGTGAGCCGGGCTAGTCACAATATTTGCTGTTTATCCAGTGAGCATTCCTAATGCTGCTGTTTGTGTTTGCCTTCGTCGCTCTAATTCGGCACCGAAAGTAGTTAATGCGAAATTAATTTCCAAATTGAACCGGGCACATAAATAAAACATTTGGCTTCGATTGGAACGAGCGATTCCTTTCATGCTCTCCGCTTTTATGGCAGCGACAAAAATTGGTCTCAATAAAAATTTACGTTTCATAAAATTTATTATGTATGCCATACAATGGCAGCCAGCGGGGCGCAATGAAAGCGGAGACGGTCAAATCAAAGCACGAATGACCAAAAAACAAAAAGGAAATGAACAACTTTATATGCAGGATAATGGCCAGGACATCATGGTGGCGGCGACTCCTCACGTATGTATGCCTCCTCCTTGTCTGTGCAGGCGGCTGGCTCTCAAGCAGGCCGAAATTTATTACGACCATGAGGCGAGTGTGCGATGGCATCGCTCCAGAGTCACACTTGAAGTTCGGACAACCATTTGGCTTTATTCGAAATCATTGACCAAATTCTTAAGTAATCAAACTGAAAGTTTTCCTACATCTCGACTGTGCTCGATAAGAGCTTTCCACTTGCCCAGATAAATACAAATCATGCAAAATGGCCAAAAAGCCGAGTTCAACATGACTTTTCAATTTTGGAATGTGTTTAATGGGCTACGTTTTGAGTATCAGTTGCTCTGTGTGCCATGTGTGTGAGCAGCTGATTGCCCCCGTTAATGGAAATTGCAGCTTTATTCCCAGCTCCATCCACAGCCTCCCCCTAAAAAAATCGCAAAAGTTCGTATCGCAAAAAGTTGGGCGCCAAACCAAGTTGGGTGGCAACTTTTAATGGCACACTAAAATAATGAAAACAAAAACTTAATCAAACCAGGTCCAGGTAACAGATTTGTTCTCCGTTCAATCGATATGCCATTGCAATAGTGATGGCAGACTCATTTTTATCAGAAAAAAAAATAAAAGGAGTATGGTTTTTGTTGCCAAAAAAAAAAACGTTTCATTTAATGTACGTTACTTAAATCTTATGAATTAAATATTATAAAAAGTCATATAGTAGAACCCAATAGTTCTTAAAAAAAGGTTAACACTTCCTCCCATCGCTGGAAAAACACAGAGCCACGCTGTCACGTGTGTGCGACAATTAAAGGAAAGCGCGACCTGCGGAATTACGTGGAAAAGAGCGGGGAAAATATGGAAAAACTGTCGCCAGCGGTTGCCAAGGTATGGAGCACGTAATGAAAATATTGCTCCCATGTAAATATATATGTATCCTTCCGAGCTGGGTGCGGTTTCACCTGTGTGTGTGTGTGTGCAAGGGAATAAGGTAGAAAGAGTTGGAATTCGGGTATGCGACGCCTGATTGCAAACAGCTTCGTGTTGCGGCACGCGCCTAATTAAATTAGAGAACGCTGCATTTCGGGCTCAATTGAAGATGCAGAGCGGGGAATTCTGGTTTTAGGCAGCAGCACCGGGACACACAGCATCCAGGCAGCTTAATCTGCAAACAAAGCAAGAGCGATCCCAGCGGCAGGAGTTTCAGGGTGGCGCCTGGCATGTGTCCTGTCATCGATTTCCTTGCTTTGGGCTCCTCAAGGACCAAAGCATATTTTCGCCAAGCGAAATTATGCACACATTTTTCGACCCTCGTGTATGTGCCTGTGTGTGTTGCCAAACAAAGTCGAGCAAATATGTGCACACACATCCAGAGGAGGTGTGGATGGTGTGGAACCCCTCTCCCATCCCTGGCTTGTTAGTGCTTTTCTAATGCAAAATAAGCCAAAAAACAAAGCAAAGGCCAAATGCAGCATCTATCCGGCTTCCAGTCATGGTCACAAGCCATCCGTCCTCCGTTCTCGACTTTTCTAAAATCGCATACAGAGAGGGAAAATGATCTATTGAAATATTAACTATGTTCCGATATAAAAACTATATAAAAATTTACTAAATAATGTAATTTGTCGTAGGACTTTATATAATCTTTAAATTCTGGAAATATTTTATACTTTATTTTATTACAAGTTTATATTTATAAGTTTTGATGCCTTTTCTCTCTGTGCATTCCCCCAATTTCAATGCTTTGCTAAATTTCGGACAGATTAAGGATTTTTTCAGCTGCAGTTGAAGTCATCGACCAAGTTGAGTTGTTGTTTTGTACGCCGAAGGCGAGTAGCAGAAGGAGGTCATGGCCGTGCTCTCCCCGCAAGACTTTGGCCTGCAAACAGCATTCATTATGCATGCATTTTAAATTGTAAATTTCCCTACCTTGCATCCACCGAACTCAGCCCCGACGGCCAGTTCCCTGTTGCCAAAATGGATTTGGCGGCAGGCACAGCTCCTGGTCTCGCTCCCGACGCCGTTCCGGCTCCTGCTTCTCGTTCCGGCTAAGATGATGTCGGCTTTGGGCCAGGCTAAGACCTGCTGATGCGCTTGATGAGCTTTGGCCATATTGTTTGAATTTTTACGGACCCAGAGAGGCTTAGAACGTCGGAGCGTGAGTCCCGCCCCTCTTACCCGGGCATTTCCTTTCGTTGGCGTTTGCCAAGAATAATACTTCAAAATTTAATTGTACCAGTCGAGGCAGAAACGAGGCGATATTTTTCGGTTGGTCGCCACCTTTACGCACTTTCCCATTAACAGACCGAGTAAATTTGTTAATGAGTTGATCATTTCGATGCAGCAAATTTAGCGGTTGAGTTAATTTGGGAAAATTAGTTGCAGCATCGGCATTCCGACATTAATTTGTGGCCATTTAAAGGGTCCCAAAAACTTCAAACTGCTTAGGAAGTATTAGGACCGAAGGGGGAGGGCCACCCAAATTGAATATCTCCGTTCAGAATTGCCATGACAACTGACTGTGGCGGAGGCGAGTTCGGAGAAGCAGGAGCCACCGAAAAGTTTGTGGCGCCTGGAAACTTTTGTCAGTATGTTATGCGAGTCAGTCCGTACGGGGGGCATAGATCAAAAACGCAAAAATGGGTTAGGTTAGGGGCTCAAGCCGGGGCTCAAGTCGGGTCTGATGGCGATGATGGAGATGATGATAATGGGCATTCAGGCAAATGGGCAAATCCGAGCCAGGGACACTCAGACTCAGGGTGAGGAGTCCCGAGTCCGGACAGGTTGCCATTGTTGGCAAGTGGCAACAAAGTCAGGCAAACAAAATCCGACCAGAGATATATCTCTGTCTATGGACTGCCTCCCTTAACACACATGCCAAAGCCTTTTGGGTCAGAAACTTTTCAAATACCTAATCCCCATGCCACAGGACGGAGACGGAGGACCAAAGACGAAGGCTTAGGACCAGGTCTCCGTTTCAGACCGATTATAAATAGAAAGTCGTCCGCTTTCTTGGGGGTCAAGCGTGTGTGGCGACTGTGTCCCATCCATAAGTCTGCTCTCTAAGCTGATTCTCAGCTCTATTAATAGCTGATTGGCCCGGCAAGCAGCACCTGGCGACTGCCGGCAGTCATATTGATTCACTTATGACAGCGTCCGTATGCCACCTGATCCCTCCCGGCCGTAAGTGGAAAACCCTGTTGTGTCCCCGGAAAAGCTTAAAGAGTTTTTTACGACCCGGCCGGGCTCTACCTTTGGCGCTGCGCAAAAGTTTTCGCCTTTTCGCCCCCAATATGAGCCAGCTCGCATTCGTCTCTCCGCCACGACAGAGGAAATCAATTTGGGGGAATTCCAACTATTTGGCCAGCCGGCCCACCCAAAAGCCAGTGTAAATTGTTGTCGGCAGCCACATGAAAGAGA